AAAAACATATTCCATTTAGTTAACAAACTCTCTGTTAAATGTTTCTGTTATGAAAAAGCTAACTGGTGAAACAAATAAAAACTTTGAGATCCTAGTTGTATCTATATATTATTTATTTGTACGCCACCCAATCCCCAAAGATTCTGGGCAGCTAAGTAATTTTTAAAAAAATACTTCAATTAAAAAAGACACAGGAATTAAAAAAACAAAGTAAAAAAAAATCAAATCAGAAAATTATAGCAGAATTACTTGCAACCCCACTTCTAATGAAAGCATCACCTCCTCCTGTGTCCTGTGCTAGACAAAACAGCTGGATCTTAACAAACGCCTCTGTAACATATAACTAACTGTAAAAGATTTTTTTTCGGTTTATGTACAGCAATACATATGTAAAAAGCTATGTAACTCTAATGAATTAAATTATTTTCCTTTTTATCTGATGATAACAACATATATTTATAACATTTATAAAAGATTCCAATCGTAAGAGGGATTCCTGCTTAAGACTTACAAATGAATGTGTTATATGTGTTATAAATGAATAGCTAACATCTTTTCCCAAAATCATTTTAACAAATAAACAAATATTAATGGGTGAGATGGGTAGCAAATAATGAAGGGAGGGAGGGAAGGGAGGTGGACCAGGTTGAGCCCATGGGAGGAGCCAAGTCCATCATCAGTCTTGAGTGCCTTCATATCCACAATAGATTTAAATTCAGTCCACATTGAATTCCATTGACTCATTAAATTTGTATGAGTTTCCCTCCATCATTTTTAAAACTGAACAAAATACTCTGACCAGTGAAAATGTGCCCACATCCATATTTCTCTTTTTCCCTCTTCCTTTGCATGTGTGTCTTGTTCTTATTTATACTTAAGCAACAGCAGCTTTGCTCAAAATATACCCTGAGAGCTCAGGGATAGATCCAGGTTCAGTAGGGCTAAGCTGCATTTAATTTTGTTATCCAGAGTCCTATTTCTGCTGAATGTGGTTTCTTCACTTCCATCATACCATGTTTCCCCGAAAATACAACCTGTCCTGAAACTAAAACCTTGCCAAAGCACCACTGACTGACCTAGCGGTACCCGGAAGGCACCAAGCAACACGAGCGCCTGTTCGCCACCCTCCTCCTACCACGGCTCGGCGCCTTTGGAATGCCCCTAGGTGAGTGAATGGAGCTCTGCATGGCTGGAGGGGGGGGTTGCGCAAGTGGCTTTTCTGCTCCCCGCTCGCGTGACTCACAGGCTCACAATGCCCGTGGCTAACTCTACAGTATCTGCTGGTGACGCCCGCCACTTGGGTTTTTTTGCGGCTTTCAAAGCACGGAGAACTGATGCCGCCCTGGGAATGCGCTCTATGGTTGTGGGCTGCAGAGCGTACAACCATAGAGCGTACTCCCAGAGCGGCATCCATCCTCCATTGTGGCTTCCAAAGCACAGAGGTAGGATACCGCTCTGGAAGTACATTCTATGGTTGTACGCTACCATAGAGCATACTTCCAGAGCGGCATCCATCCTTCGTGCTTTGAAAGCCACAAAAAAAAAAAACCAAGCAGCGGGTGCCGCCAGCAGCAGAGATGCCCTGGCTCTGCAGGTACTGTAGAGTTAGCCAAGGGTAGCGTGAGCCTGTGAGTCGTGCAACCGGGGAGTGGAAAAGCCACTCGTGCAACCCCCCTTTCCTGCCATGCAGAGCCCCATTCACTCACCTAGGGGCATTCCAAAGGCACCGAGCCGCAAGAGGCGGAGGGTGGTGAACAGGCACTCGCGTTGCTTGGTGCCTTCCGGGTTCTGCTAGGTCGGCCCAGCTGGAAAGGGGGGGTTTCCAGGCCGCTGCTCACGCATGTGGTCACCTCGTGGCTGCTGTGTTGCTGCTGCAACAGCGCAACACAGCCATTCGACCCTGAGGCTGTGCCCTGCTCTTCGGGAGCCCGGTCACAAGGGAGCAGCCTCCCGGCAACCCAAAAGCAATAAGCCCTCCACTTTAATAAGCCCAAGGCCATATTTCATGGGACAAAAAAATATAAGACCCTGTTGTATTTTTGGGGAAACACGGTATTATCATCCTGATTACATAACAAAAAGATAATTTTGTTGAGGATTCAACAAAAAGAAGATGCATTGGGAATCTAAAAGGAAGAACATGGAAGGATGCAATTGTATGCATCTGTCTATGTGTATAAATGACAGGAAGAGATCAGCCCACCCAAATAAGAATGCTGAACTTTAGCTCCTACCTAGGCATCATCATCAGCATTTTCATGGCATATTTGAATGTAATCATTTGAAGCAGTACCTTCTATACTTTCAATCTTACATGGCTTTCCCTATTTTTTCCTCAGCTTAATGGACATCATGCTTTGCATTTCTGAGGCTGGTTGTTTTCTGATAAACGTTTAGTCATGAGACAGTCACCAGACTTGGTAACATCTCCACTGCTTGTTCTCATAAAAATTATATTGTGACTCCCTGAATATACAGGTGATTTTATTTAGAAGTCACAGAGTTGAGGCAGCAGAAGGAAATAAGAATGCACAAGGTTTGGTACATACCAAGAATTAATTGTTTCCTATTATGATGACCAGCCATCAGTTAGGTTAATATGGCTATATTATGATCCATTATCTATTCCTAGTAGAAATGCCAATTTTAAGTGATGTGTGCATGGCATACCCATATTATGCATGCATTTGGGATAATAGTTAACCTATGAAGATGTAAAAAAATATGGGCCACCTCCAGCTTTCGCTCAAGCCCTTTCCACCCCAATCAGAAAGTATCAAGATTACTTGCAGAATTTCAGCGAATAACAGCTGTGCAATTTTCACTAGAATTTTAGCAGGAAATTAAGATAAAGCAAAATGTGTTTTAAAAAATCAAAATTAACCCCAGCCTTTTTCACAGCTATTACCATTCTGTTCTAATGTCCAAATGCTACTTGGCTTTCAGATATATATATATATATATTTAAAAATGAACTGACCTTGATCACAACAAGGCTACTTGTCATTGATGTAGAAGATACAAAAGGCAGATGTTACACTTTATGATGCTGTGCAGATGGAAAACAAACGTGTTTTTCTCTTTTATAATACAGATAACATAATTTTTAAAAGACAGAGATGGCTTGCAGAGGAAGAACAAAGAGGAACAAAAGACTGAAGAAATTTTGATTTTGTTTTTTTTTTTCATTTCCATATTGATTATAACATTGCAGGGAACATCAGACAGAGCACCATAATACATACATGGGAACAAAGTGATAACTTATACAAAGCAGCAATCAGCTGCAGCATATTTAGATGAAAATGAAACATTTCGCAAAGTTGAAAATCCTTTGATTAAAAGAACAGCTTTATATCAACAGTAAGTATAATCAACTTCGTATTAGAGTCTGCAGTTTATGAAACTAAAGTAGCCCCTTTTCAGTTTTCTGAATTAATCGAAATGTTTTAGTGTTTTTTAAAACTTATTTTATTGATAATGAACCTAACACATCTTTGATCATTGCTTTGATCACGGGCCTAATTTGGAATTAATCAATGGCAGAATAAAGGAAAGAAAACACAGATGGTAATTGTAAGAGCAATAAAAGTGAATATCTTATTAGCAGAGAAGACATAGGTCCAAATGACAGAAAATGAAACTTTAACAGAAAATATGAAAAGAAAAGAGATAAATTGATTGCTATTTGGCGGTGAGCTGACATAGTCATGTATGTATGTGGTAATGTATGTATAATTTGATTCACAGTGGCAGATTGGTTTCATCGAAGTTATTAGCCTCAACATGCTATCAGTGTTTCTTTGGATAGGAGATGACCAGTGAATACTACAATGGTAGGTTAGACTAGAAGTCAAATTACATCGGAAAGAAGACCATATTTTCATATTGTTGCCAAAAACCAAAATGATTGGGTCCACAGAATCAACAGGAACAGAGTTCAATTCAAAGGATTGCTATAGCAGTGGTTCTCAACCAATGGTCCATGGACGCATGGGAGGGTTGCAATATAGTCACAGAGGCAGAGGTGGGTTCCTACCAGTTCGCACCTATTCAGTAGAACCGGTTCGTCAAATCTACCGAACCGGTTAGAAGAGGTTCCACCAGTGGACCCGGAAAGCAGGCCACACCTACAGAAGAGGTTCCAAAAATTTTTGAAACCCACCACAGGTTCTTGGATATGATTATTCTACACTATCATGCTCATACTTATAAAACTCAGTGCCTCTGTGAAAGGTAAGGATGACTACTGCGTTTGTGGTACAATCAGAACATTGCATGTGTTGAAGTTGTTTTAACGCAAACCAAAGATGCCTTTTAAAAAACAAGTTTACATCATATTCTTATGCATGCCAGTGCTGTGTGTGAGGTAATTTAAGGTGGTTCTGACAAGTGTCGTCGGCATCTTCATATCCAGTCACATGGATGGCAAGCCACTCCCACAAAGGAGGCCACACCCACAGAGTAGGTTCGAACAATTTTTGAAACCCACCACTGCACAGAAGGTTTATAAAAGTTTGAGGAAATGTTATGATTTAAATCTTGAGTTGGCCACAAAGGTATTTAAAAGGGAACTGTGAGAAGAAAATGTTAACAACCACTGTGTTATAGGTTTGAGACCAAGAAAGGAATTGTTTCCCTCTTCCTTAGCTTAAAGAAGAAAAGAATTCCTAGAACAAGGCAATAAACACAGGTAATTAATGCAGACATGCGAAAGAATGCCTTTCTGACAGCTTTACTTTTAATCTGCTTAGATCACAGGTGTCAAACTCGTGGTGTCATGTTGCCATCATGTGACATTTTGTGACATTTTCCCCTTCATGGAGCTGGCGTGGCCTGTGCATATTGCATCCGGCCTTCAGGCTGCCAGTTTGACACCCCTGACTTAGATCATCCCCTCTCTATAAATGATGATGTAAAATAAAGATGCTGGAAGTTAAAACATTGACTTAGAATTTTTTTAAGAGGTCCTATTGTGAACCAAGTATTCTTCAACATACCTCTGTGCAGCAACTTCTCCAAGACAATTCTCAAACGATGAAGTGTTGATGGTGAAATTTCATACTTGTTTACATCTATCACTGGAACTCGCTGACATTTCCCAAATACTCCATCTGGAGAAGAAAAGGAGGAAATAAATAGAAAAGGAAATAATGTTATTCTATGTTACTTCTAATACATCAAGAAATTTGTATTATCCTTTTATAATTCTTTTCCCTTTCATGAAATGTAAAATAAACTGTGGTGCATTTCTATTATCACCCTTCCATTCCTTTTTATCTATGTTCCCATCCTAAGCAATGCCAAAGCAAAAATAATAATAATTCCTTGTGAAAACCAAAATTCAAAGGAAACAGTGATGTTTGTTCTCAGAAGTAGTAATCTATCTCTCTATATCTCTCTCTCTCTCTTTCTTCTCTCTCTCTCTCCCTCCCTCCCTCCCTCTCTCTCTCAATACAGAAAGTGGTAAATGAATGTTGAATCAATAATAGGCAGCAAAGCTAGCTTAATGTAGTGCTGTCTAATGAATGCAATAAAAGGAAGCTGCTCACACAACAATGAGATATTAATGAAACCTAATTTATTTAGCTCCATTCCATTTGCCTAAAATGACAGACTCTTCTCATCAAACTCTTTTCATATCACACCTTCTAATTAATTTAGGTCCTAATTAGTCTTTATTTAGAGAATTGTTCATTTCAAGACAAGCTTCCTATGTGGGGCGAAGATAGGGAGGGGAGGGGAGTTCAAACACAAAATTACCTTTCTCCCTTCCATACAAAAAGCTAATTTAGAGCCTAGGTGTTTATAACACCTTCTGACCATCTGCAGCCCTAGGCTCTAAAAAAAGGAAAGAGGGGTGCATTATTGTTGTTTCCTCCTGTACACTGTGATCCAAAGAAAACCATTGAAATGCAACAAGTTTAATTAGCATGCTGTTCTTTGTAGAGTGTGTTTTAATTTAGTAATTACTGCAGATATTGCATTTACAATCAAAAGGGAAGGTTAAATTTGACTAGCAGAACCTAATATTAAGAATTAATTTACAACTATCTTTTTCTGTGGGATTTCAACCAACCAACAAAACATTTTTTAAAAAAAAAAAAATCTGTTTTCATAATGCAAGCAGTACATCTGTAATTTATAAAATGCAGAAATTATTACACTGACACAGTCCTGTATTATGAAATGGTTTATAAGAGGGTAATTACTTCTGCATTTTAAGACTGGAATAAAGTATTAAACTAATATTGTTGGGAGGCAAATTAAAATAAAGAAATCATAAACTTTCACACGATATTTCCAAAGCAAAATGTCAGCAAAATTAGCCCGTTTATTTGTCTTATCAAGGACAAAGGTATTTCTCACAGTAAATCAAAAATCTTGCCATGCAATTTATTTTGTATTAGGAAAATAATTCCTGGTAAGGAACTTTTCATTCCTTACAAGAACAAAATGACTCTTTACTATTTCATACTACAGCATTAATTGTACGTCAGTGATAACACAGAATATCCATAAATTGCTACAATATAATACAAATATGCCCCTTGTATGGATCCAAACACTTCTTGTATGTTCAGTATTGATCAGTCAGGCAGCAATTCTGAATCAGGCAAGATGTAATTATATGCATATTTAAACCTAAAACATACTGTACAGAATTTGAATCATATTGCAGAGCAGTTTTTCTCAACCTTGACACCTTATCAGAATTCTGGGAATTGAAGTCCACAGACCTTCACGCTGCCTAGAGTTGAAACACTATTATAGAAGGTGGATGTGAAATATTTAAGTTTTAGCCTTTTATCCTTATAGTTTGTTAGACTTGTTAATAATAAACATGTTCTTTAATCAATAGATTCCAGGGCACTCATCTAGGGTTCAGATCAAATCTGCCATTCGGAATTTGGAAACTGTCTCTATCAGAAGCCCCAAGTTGAGAGACCAAGTCTTCTCTATGGGGAAGACAGTCAGAAAGGGACGGAGGTGGAATGTTGTGTGTGGGTGTCTGTGTTTCTGACCCTGTGTCTGTATATGCACTCTAGTTGTCTCTAGATTATTCGGTGTTTAACAAAAACACCTGAAACCATTTTATAGAACACTAGCTGATAACCCAGCGTTGCCCATGAATTTATTTACAGGGGAAAATGTCCAGATCAGTGGTGGGTTGCAGGCGGTACGCCCCGGTACGGGTGTACCGATGCCTACCCGGAGCACTGGGTACCGTTCCGGTACAGTGCTCCGGAGGGCCCACCCACCTGCCCAAGCTCCTTACCTGTATTTGAGTTCTTCGGTGCTTCTGCACACGCGCATGGAGCACACGGTGCCTGCACAATGTTCCACCGAGCAGCTGGAGCATCACGGGAGCTCCCAGAAGTGTCACAAGAGGTAAGGATGCATGTGTGCACTGCACATGTGTGCGCGTGTACAGCGTGCATTCATGTGGTGGACATCGGGCCCTGTTGCAACCGTACTGGTTGCAACGTGATCCAGAACCTACCACTGGTCCAGACCAAATGTAATTTCTAATGTTGGATTTTCCCCTTTACCAGAGGGAGCCACCTTGTGGAATGCTATGAAGCTGTTACTAGGCAACTCTACTGTGCTGCACATAGAAGCCATTTTAAGGCACAACAGGCTGTATCTTAACAGAACACTCCCCGGGGTTTTTTTAGGGGTGTCTTACCTATATTTGTTTCCAGAGAATAAGTTATTAGGGTAGATAGTAACTTATGCCCCCTAACCGGTTCTATCTTGGTTGTTTTCACCTAGTTTTTTTTTTAACCTACTGCGCAAGCGTGCATTAAGCACGCACACACCCGCATCAAGCGTGAGTAGCGTGCATCAAGTGTGTGCACACCTGAAACACGTCCCTGAGCGAACCGGCAGTAGAAGAAGTCAGAACCCACTCCTGAATCCAGGGTTGCCAGAGTCGCTTGTCTAACACCAAATTCCAGAACTTTGGGAGTTTCCTTTCAATTTGGTCAGCATCAGAAAATTCATTTTTCTTTTTGGCTTTTAAGCCATCAAAATTCTGGACAAGAAGGCTCCACCAAGTGAAAAGAATGTGAGGAAGGCCGTCCCAGGATCAATATTTGCCTGGCTCTGCCCACTTCCCCTGGGAGGGAGACCACAAAGGCAGAACACCATTGATTTTGCAGTACTGATGCCACAGGAGGCTTCCCTTTTAAGTGCTGAATCTCCATATTGCTCCTCACCATACACAGCACATCACCTTTGCCCTAACTTGTCTAATAACCCCTATCAGCAATGCTTAGTTGAAAGGATATTTTTCTCTTGAATCCTCCATTAAAGGAAGGCAAGAAACAGAATGCAGCTGCATCTTCTTGATGCTATTGAGCTAATCAGGGTAGAATTTTTGTAAAGAGCATTGCAAAGTCTTCACTCCTTCACTTTAGCATCTCCAGAAATGCTTTTTAAAAAAAAAACAAAAAAAACTTCACATCAGACACAGTTTATGCCATTTATTTCAGTGGGGAGGATACTAATGATCTGGAGCTGAAGATTCTCATATGATGTGTATGAAAAATATATTAAAATTGATTTGGTTTTTTCTGTTGTTGTTTTTTTGGTATTGCTTGATTTTAAATTCAAATTCAAATCTAGCAACTCTGATTACATTTTATATTTCTTTCACTGATGATTTGACTCCACTCTTTAGCATTCTGGTTTTATAATTATGGGGAGTCCTCACTTAGTGACCATCTGTTCAATGTTCCTTAAAGTTCTGGCCATGATGGCATTCCTACAATCATATGATTCAGTAAAGGTAAAAGTTCCCCTCGCACATATGTGCTATTCATTCCTGACTCTAGGGGGCAGTGCTCATCTCTGTTTGAAAGCCAAAGAGTCAGCACTGTCCAAAGATGTCTCTGTGGTCATGTGGCCAGCATGACTAAACACCGAAGGCACATGGAACAGTGTTACCTTCCCACCAAAGGTGGTTCCTATTTTTTTTACTTGCATTTTTTACATGCTTTTGAACTGCTAGATTGGCAGAAGCTGGCACAAGTAACGGGGGCTCACTTTGTTACGCGGCGCTAGGGATTCAAACTGCCAACCTTTCTGATTGACAAGCTCAATGTCTTAGCCACTGAGCCACCGTGTCCCCTAAACATCATATAATTACCATGTACAATTTCACTGGCAGTTTCCAACAGGCAAATTCAATGGGAAAGCCAACAGAAAGACACAAGTTGCCATTATGTGATGTTGTACTTAATAGCAATAGCAATAGACTTACATCCCGCTCCATTGTGCTTTACAGCACTCTCTGAGCAGTTTACAATGTTAGCATACTGCCCCCAACAATCTGGGTCCTTATTTTGCTGACCTCGGAAGGTAGCCGCTACTACCAGTTCGGCCGATCTGGGCTGAACCAGCAGTACCTCTGTTCAAGTCTCATCAGGATTGAACTCCAGGTTGTGAGTAGAGTTAGCTTGGAATACTGCATTCTAACCAGTGCACACCAGGGCTTAACAACACCTCATGGTTTACTTAATGATTGCAACAACTGACAGAATTTCAATTTGTCAGTGCAGTCATATGATATTTTTTTGTTTTATCACTACATCGTTGAGCTGTATGCATTAGAATTCATAAAAATTACTGTTTATTTTCCTTCACGTTACTTTACATGAAGAAACATTTTTAAATTTTGTTTATTGTTCTTTCCCCCAAGAACTGTTGCTTAATTTATAAATAAGGGATAACCCAGTAAGTTTTTCAAACTTGGCAACTTTAAGATTTGGGGGCTTCTTCAATAAAGCTAGCTGGGGAATTTAGAAAATTGAGCTACACATTTCAAAGTTGCCAAGTTTAAAAAATACTGCCATAAGGAATTGTTGACTAGACTCACCTAATTTTACAGCCTAATAATCCCACATGATAAGAAAACAGTTCTATTAAAATAGTGTGATTCCTGGTTTGAAGTGAGATTGACACTCTCACCTAAACACTTCTTAAAGGAGCTGTTCTCTCCCTATAAAGCAATATCACTCTATATTTCAGCTTAATCATCTTTATTCCAAAACTTTTGGGCTTCAAGTGGCTCACATTAATGGTCTTAGAATTTTAAAAACCTTGAATAACTTCTAATTCATGGTTTGTTTATGAAAGTGACCATTTACCCAACTCCGCTGATCATGGCTCCTTTGCATTATGTGCAAACCAAGTCATGATAATTAAAAAACAGGAATAATATAATTCAGAAACCCAGTCATACAATGCAATCCTGTTCAATTACAGGTTTAATTAAAATGTACTGCAGAAGGGGGAATTTTTTTGTCTTGTTTTTTTTCAAATACTGGAAATGAACCTTCAGAGTTGCTTAGTGAATGTTTTAAACAAAGGGAACTTCTATATAAAATTATCTATGAATTAATCTTTTACCAAAATGTTTTATCATTTTTTCTTTCTTAATTATGGGCTGAATTAGTATAACATGTTATTTATTCTAAAATGTGCAAGGCTAGTTTATTATTTAGGATGCCAGGCAAACTCAGACACCTGTGCTAATTCAAGAAATACAGTAATCCGTAACCGGAATCTAAAGTCGCGGTGACACAACAGTCAATCTCGGGGCTCCGAGACTGCCACTGAAATTTCAGCCACAGGACAGTCCAACTGGATCTAAGCCATCCTGAAGAGACGGTGATAGGAAGGGACATATCCTGCCGATCCTAGAATCACCCGCAAAGTCTCTGGTGATCCAGGAATAGCCCTTTTGCCAGTGGCTAGGAAGCAGCCATTAAGGCTGGTGAAACTGCTGACAGCTTCAGAAGTGAAAGTGCAGGAGAGAGCATGTCGTTCATGGTGAGATTTTTACCTTTTTTCTGATTTATGAGAACGCCCTAAATGAAGAGAACTAATCTAAAATAAAGACTGATGAGAGAGAGCAAGCGGTGAATCAAACTCACAGTAGAAGTTTTTACTTTTTTTTCTCCTTTTTATTGTCGGAAGCCTGACTGGACTTTCTATTCAGCATAGTGTTAAAAGGAGTGGCTTTTTTCTTTTCTGTGTTTTACTTTTTGGACTGTTTGATAACTAAATTCTACTGTTCCACTGTTTAAGAATCTTTTTTTATATACAGCAGTTTAAAGTTCATTGTAGTGTTTTCTTTTTTCTCATTTGGGTTTTTATTCTTTTTTCTTTTCT